ACTAACTGAGTAATTAAAGTAGATAAGTTAAAAGGTAATGAGTAAAAAACAAAAACGCTCTCACATTTCTGCTAAAATCTTGGCAGAATGGAAGCCAAAAAGCATGAAATTCTGAAAACAAACAGGTTAAATAAATAAAAGGTCTTTATTAAACCTCATATACACGCGTAACACATAAGTTCTGCATACCTTTTCGGAGCTTGCTGGCTTAACGTAGAGGTACCTCTTTACATTGCAGTGGCACTGTGGCAAAGTTGCGAAAGTCGTTCCCAAAAGAAGTTCATTCTTTCAGCAGTATTCTTGGACACAAAATTAGAAATGAACGCGAGTATAGTCGTCTAGCTAGCTAAAATGCTTTGGCAACTACAGCCGCTTGCAGCACTTGTGGTTCAAGTCAAGGATTCGGACCTCATTAGGGACGCTATAGGGGAACAAGTCGTTGCTCAACTGAAAGAGTTGTTGGTAGTTGCGATAGTTAGGGTACTGGCATACATCTAAAACGTAGTCGAGCTGAGTTGTCGATAGTGCTGCTTTGCAAAGAGAAAGGTAGGGGATTTTCAGCTAAATGTGCAGCTGAAAGGAATTGTTGCTGGAGGCAGCGCGCAATGAGGGCAGGAGCATAGCTCGTTTTGGTTTGGACAGTGTAATTAGACAGAGATGAGATTCGACACATGTGGATGTAACTGTTTATAACTATGTAACTATCAAGTACGTAGAATCGTATATTAAGGAAATTGACAGCTGTTTCCCCGCAATTAACAAAGTTATTAAACTAATTAAGGTTAAAGGTATGTGTAAAAAACGAGAACGGTCTCACATTTCTGCTAATATTTGTTGCAGAAACGAGGCCAAAAAGCAAGAAATTCGTAAAACAAGCAGATTAAAGACTGATAAACAATACTTCTTTTTCGCACATCATTTACATGTGTTAAAAAAAAAGTTATGTATACCTTTTCGGAGGTCGCTCGCATAACTTCCGGTCATTTTCGTACATCACAGTGGCAATCCGCCAGAACTTCTGGAACCTTTCCCAAAGCGAGGCATTTTCCCGCTCATATTATTGGCAATACAATTGGAAATGAACGCGACTGTAACTTCAGGAAACAAACTACGGAGAGACTGGCAAGTACACTCGATAATTACTTATAGAAGGAAACGTCCTCGTAGCTAAAGATTAGCCTGGTTGTTGCTTTCATAACTGTGGGAAAATACCGTCCTATAAGCAGCTGCTGAGGAAGCATTCTACCGTTTTATGCGCATCTGGAATCCACGCGACACTGATTTTATACTGCGCATTTACGGTCAGCCCCACTGCTTGGCAATTGCGTGCCATACAGTAACTACTTCTTCTGGTCGTATCGTTTCTCTTTTAGACTTCCAAAGCCTTTTTTCCGTTGTCTTGTACGAAAAATAGAAAAAAAAAATATTTTCATTCCCACGCTTGTTTGTTTCTGCTTTGCAAATGTAATATGTTCCTCTTTGACCTTGCTTATATAAAAGCTCCTTATTACGCCTCAAAGTGCAGCAGCATTTATGACATGGGGACCACGCTGTTCAAAATGGCAGGTCGTTAAACATTTTTTTCTAAGTTGAAAATTTTTTTCCTCTTTTCATTTTCGTCACTGTATATCAACCTAAGTTGCGAAGAAGATTTTCAAGCACAGAAATAATGGTATGCTGTGAATGATTGCAGTGAATGATGCTGAAGGGGCTTATCTTTTCTAGCACAATATTTCTAAATGGGTACAGAAGTGCTGTCCAGTGTAGAAGTCCAGAGTGTATTTCATCCTGAGAGGGATTAATTTATTTGGTATGTTTCAGATTAAAAGTTGTTGTAGTGGAAATGAGGTTTTAAGAAAATATTGGGGGATTTGCTCCTAAGTTTTCTTTTTTTTCAAGCACAGTAAAGTTCTGTTCTTAGACAGTTTAAAGTTCCAAGGTAGTCTTAATTGTGCACTATTCCACCTCGATTCCATACCACCAGCAAGGGAAGTCAATTTCTGTATACGAAATGACTTGCTTATCGTGTATTGTTGGATGTGTCAAAGTTTTGTGTTCAAAACGGTCCTTTTGCGCAGGAGTCCCAGACCAGGAAAAATGACCGGTTAGTTCTCAGATTCGCTGTGTCGTTAATGGATTCCGTTCATGCTGGCTATCTTAATTACAACGTGTTACAAACTCTTAAAATGACTTTTAGTTTAAAACTAAATTTTTCTTGTAAGCTGTAATTGTTTAAAAGTTTTTCTATTGAAGGAAACAAGCTGAGTTGTCAGCTGCTTTAACTGTTCCAACATTTGACTGCACTGTCGTTGTACCTTCAAATAACAGTTAAACAAAATGCAGAAGCCGAACTCCCTAAACTGTTGTAGTTTTACTTGACTTTTAGGCGGGATAATAGTTGTTTGGAATTCTGCTAACCGCACAACTGTTTTTGCATTAAGAGGTAAAGACAGGATCAAAAAATTAAACTAAGCGCATGAATAAAACTGTAATTTCTGTAACATATAGCATTTTTCAGCGAGAACTATTATCCTGCGTGGTAAACTAGTTGGGAGATTCCCTTATTTTCGAAAAGAGGCTTTGTACTTCTCTGCACTTTTTAAGTACAGAAAACTTATTTTCATCTCTGTACACAGCAAATCGGTTTTACGCGAAGCTATCTGAAAATTTATTTTCAATTCTTGTTTTCTCACTTTCATTTTTGGTTTTTTTTTTTGTCCTTATAAAACAGTATTTTCCGCGTGAAAACCCACTGCTTTTGTGCATCTGTACACAAATTCCATTATTGTTTGACAGTTCAAGGGGGTCTTGCGACAAAAAGTTGCTTTTTTCGGATGCCATGTCTAAAAGTGATAGAGGGTTGTCATACAAGCTCGATGATTAGTCTGAAGCGACATATGCAGAGACTGTTTGCACAGTTTACCGGAAAGCTTTCGTGTAATTAATCTAACCAAAAATCAGTCTTCTCCTGCTCTACTAACAAGATATTTCGGTTTTACGAGAATTTTTTGGAACTGAAACTCGGAAAGATGCAAAGCTGATGTTGGCCCAGAAGCTTACTTCTTCGCAGTCTTAATAAAAAAAAACGTACGAAAAATTCACGACGTTGGATGGGCAGCTTCTGCTAGTGAAGTAGTCCCCCAAGGAGGCGCGGGTGGTGAAGAATATCAAAATTCAAATACTGGTAAAGGTTGGTTGAGTTTTGAGTCTCACTTTGGCAGCTTTCCAAAGTCGCTGAATGTGGATATTTGGCAGTTGTTGACCGTTTGCTGAAGTGGTGGTTTTTGTCGTTCTTTTGCGACTTGATGGTTTCAGGTATCGATGAAGTAGAAAATAATGTTACAGACAGAGGATGGAAAATCGCCGAAACCTAGCTGCACTGGAGCTCCCTCTTAATTGCGCAGCTTGAAAACAAACAAGTGATGGGGGGCCTCGCGTTCTAGTATTTTGCGGACGTAGTAGATATAGATTATTGAACTGTTTTACTCTAAATGAAACGGCAGCAAAATCAACATTGTAGGTTATTGAACATAACCTGATTGCATCGAGATTTTATATTTCTGAGTAAATGATAAATTACCTTCAACAAATTTTGAGTTTCTGCTCGCAGTATCTTTTTGTGCGTGGTTTACAAGTTTTATGTATTGTATTGGAACGCGGTCAAGTTCTTCGAATTTTAAGTTTCTGTAATGGGGAATTTAGTCGTTATTATAAACTTGGAAGATTGTTGAGGTAGTCGTAAACGTGGAATTAACTTGAAGCGTCAGCTTTTCAATCTTTTCGATACATGCTTTCTTTTTTTTATATGCATTGTTATTATGCTGTAAAGGCTTTTGGTTCTTAATAGAATTTGTCCCATTGTAGCTGTATTGTTTTGAACTACGGAATACATATTGGTATGGGTGCGCCGTCGATGGGCCGAATACTTTCTCCACCAAAGTCAACTGGTTCTGTTAAAGCCGCACTGGAGAAGAAAGCAGGAATGGTAAGGTAGGTGCTCGTTTTTAGGCACAAGCCTCATTTCGTTTAGTTTCATCGCTTCTCGTGACTGCGTGGCCAAATGTCCTTCCTAATTGACTGCGTTTCAGGAATTTCTTGTTTATCGAGCAATAATAATTACTTCGTGATTATAGGTTTCGCATTTTGTCTAACGAGGGCTTGTTCTGGACAGTGCTGAGCTTAATTCTTTTGACTGAGGTTGGTCGATTTTTTATTTTCGATATTCCTGTTATATATTGTCTAGCTTTCAGTTTACTGATGTTTGTTAAGTTTTGTCTATTTTTTGGGTTTTCATTGGTTGGACCTAGAGATAAGAGAAGTAATGTGTCTTTTCAAACTTTCAAAAACTACTCGTTTTTAATGGTCTTATTTTTAGGTGTTGTTGCTTAATGGACGTATTCTTCGTTTTGTATTTTATTTTGTATTCCCTCTCGGTGCTCACGGGGCGTATTTATTGGAAATGCCTCTTTTCATCATAGCAGTTTTTAATGCTCTAACTTGCTTTGTTGTTGCTGCCAAAAGTATTTTTTTGAACAGTAGTAATAAGGCAGAGCTCAATTCTCAACAGTTAAAGCTTTTGGGTTTAGAAGGCGAAGGTGAGTTGAATCAAGGTTAATTTTTAGTTATGTTTTCGTAGCAAGTTGGAAGACAATGATTTAATATCAGCGAAATTTTTTTTTAGAGAAAAGCTGTTTAGCAAAAGCTAAACCCTTTGAAGTGTTGTCGTTTTCATCCCAGGATAATAAGGCAAAAAGTGATCGAAAATTTAGTTTAAGTTGGCTCTCAGCTCTTCAGTTCGGACTCTTACGAAACGCTTGGAAATCTCGATGGCGAGATCATTCTTACGACGCATCAGGCCGTCGTATTGTTCCTGACGAGAAGTGATTGTTTTTCTACTGCAGGCTTATTATACAGTACAATAAAAATAATATTTTGAAATGGTTCTTTTTAGGTCGCCTGTATTTCTAAGTTCATCCGGGTTTCGATCAAGTCTTGAAACAGCTGCGCAGTCCAGAAGATCTTTTAATGATGGATACAGTTACTCATTAGCTGCTGAGGTTGGATCAAGAACATCGCCTTACAGCAAACTAACCGCATCCATACAGACTACTAAACAACTGGAAAACTTGTTTGAAAACTCGTTGGTTTTTCCTCACAATTACTTTGAATATTCTTTCATTTTCTGCACAGGAATTAGATGTTTATTAAGCACGAGTTCATTGACGGTATACCGTCTTAAAAGCAAATTTAGGTCTGAGATTGGTGTAACATCAGTTAGTTCTGGGAACTCTTCCTTTTACACATCGTTTGGTGGGCAAAGGATGAGTGGTTTCAATGCGGCGAGTCAGTATCCATTGCTTACTTCGGGAAGTGCTGGCTATGAGCTTGGAACATCCTTCGCAGAAGACGATCAGTCGAAAAATGTTAGTGACGAAAACGGAGTTATTTCCCTGGTTACCGGTTTGTGCCATCTACTTTCACCTCTTCTTGTTACAATTCATAATGGGCTAACTATATTTTTAATGATCCTTGTGAGACAGAGGGTGAATATAGTTATTTAGGGAGTCGTATTAAAGTCTCTGCGAATCGGGTTTCACTTTCACCTATTCCTCTAAATCTTCTGAAAGTCGCAACTGATCTGACGGCATCTGGGGACGATGGAATTGCAAGTAGAGATAAAGAGGAAGGTGGTCGAATTGTAGATAGTAAAAATGTTGATGAGGATTCCACATACTTTCGAATCGAACACAATTCAGCTCGAAAATCACCAAGAAAACTGTCTAGTAGGCTGTCGCTCAGTCACTTATTTCTTTTTATTTTTTTTTTTTTTTT